GATTGAAGATGTCTCTAGAGAAGGGAATATAGAGAGAGCAAATATCCATGGAAAGGAAATCACAACACTCAGTTTTTATGTATGATCCATCCCCCTAAAATGTTACAAAGACTGCTATTTATAATAACCATGTCGACGTAGTTATCGTTGGATCAGATCCATGTGGTTTAATTTGCTGGACCCGGGTGTCACATCATGCTGTCTCACACTAATTACATTGACAAACACATTTGACAAGGGGTCAGCCGTCCTACACTTCTAGGTTGATATTCCTGACATCTATTTAATGAGAAGATCGTATCAATCATTCCTAAAGATACACTTATCAGACCTACTCTAAAGAGCCTCGACCATCAGGTGTGAAGAAATTCAGTTGGAATGACGAGAGCACTTCGTCATTAGATTTGGAGCACTTAGGCACTAGATCGCTTCATTCTTTAATGTGTGTAAGTGGTGCTTCCACATGGCCTCGTTGGAAGTCTCACATATGGTCAGTAACAAAAGATATGATCGATAATCGAAATCGACACATTTTCATATCTCGTAATTGATCGGATCATATTAATGAAATGATTATAGCTTCGCGGTAAATGAAAACGGTTGGTTTTGTCATACCACGTGACATTTCCTTCCACATGCATTGTCTTAACATATTGTTAGATGTCAATTTGCGACGACGAATAAGAATTAGTGATAAATTAAAAGGGATTTTAATTTATTGATTTTGATTAGATCAAAATAATAATTCACGTCATTAGGCATCGTGACTAAGAACTTAATGGGTCATGCACAAAAGGAGAACTAGAAGAATGAGATTTATTAACTTAGTGTTGGATAATTAATTAATTAATTGAGTTGCTCACTAATATGCCCGAGAATTAATTAATTCATGGATCATAGTTAATTAATTGAATTGATAAAATATTGAACCGATTTAAGTTAAGAGATGGCCAAGCTCATTTGGACTTATATAAATAAGTTGCTAGGGTTTGAAAATTGTAGAGAGAAAATTCATATTCTTGTTAACACAAAAAAAAGTAAAAACCCAAGTTCTCTCACTCTTGTTCCCTGTGTGAATTTTTATTGTAGGGTGAACAATTAGATAGTTGTGAATTGAAGATCGTGATTGTTAGAGTTCAAGAAAAGCAATGAAGTTTGCAGAATTCAACAAAAGTATAATTTCTATCTAAACACAAAGCAGGTCCTTTGTGAGAATTGAATTTTGTTTAAATTCCGTTCCAAAAGAAAAAACAATAACAAATAGAAAAGAAAGTTTTGAGCAGAAATATGGGGTGCGGATAAATATTAAGGGCAAATCTAGTATTTTT